GAGAGAGGGAGGGAGGGAGAGAGGGAGGGAGGGAGAGAGGGAGGGAGAGAGATATAGATAGATAGGATAGATCTTTTAAATGGATTACAAATTGTCTTTTCTTACTCCCTTGGTCTGCACGGCCGGGCTTATTTGGCCAGGGGAAGCGAGTGCTTCTTCAACATCTTTTCCCCCCCTTGTAATTATTATATCCTGCTAATTGATTCGGGATGTCAGCGCCGGCTGGTTTATTACTACTAAATTGTGCGTAACATTACTCACCTCCTCTGTCCTTTCATGTATAATTAATGCCAGGGTTTCGCTGTGGTTTTAATTTGCCGTATTCTTAATGCCGGCTGGCTGAAAGGAACCAGGCGTTTAATGCTGGTGGCAAACGTAAACGAGGGCTGCTGTTTTATCGCCGCTTCCTTTTAAGTCAGCGAGCTGGATAATTAACACGGGAGCACCCTAAGTGCACGGCTACTTAAATGTGATTTATCTCCGGGACAAGGTCAGAATTACTTTGATCAAGTGTGAAATATTTTAGGACTGAGATCGCAGCCCTCCTCCGGTAGCCTGCTGGGGCCTCGATGCAGTCAAAGCCATGAACAAAATGCTGACAGATGCTTATATTATATATGCACTTTGTCACAACGCTATTAAATGGTACCTGGGTCATGGGTGGGACATAAGTGGGGTGGACAAGGAACCAATGACTCCTGCCCATCTTACCAGAAGCTTTGTCCAGTATGAAAGGTAGTGACCAGAGAACAGAAGAGTGGCTTAAGAAAATCCACTTTGTCATAGGGGAAGTATAGGGGGGATGCTATTGCAAGCCATCTTCCTGTCAAAGCTGGATGTCTTGGCTGTGCGTGATTTCAGTGATTTTAAAGTGACACAAAACTCCGGAGTTAACTCCCAACTCTTTACTTCTGCATGAAAGTTCTAGGATTGATGGAAGACGCCTTCGAGTCAGTCTGATTTGCCCAATTTCATTGCAGACCCCTACAACACAAAACATTCTGTGGTCATGGGACTGGCCTGGTGGCTCAGGAATGCTGCTCCTTCCTGTCTTCTGGAAGATCCTCATGATGTGTGTGTTGTTAAAGGAGAACTATGGGGTCAGGGCTTTTCCCCATAGTTCTCCTTAGGGTAACGGGAGGACACAAACTAGCGTCCTCCCATCACCCTAAGCTCAGTATATAGCAGTGGTGGCAAACCTCGGCACTCCAGCTGTTTTGGAACTACAAGTCGCATGAGGCATTGCAAGTCTCTGACAGCCACAGACATAACTCCCAGCGGCAGATGCATGTTGAGATTTGTAGTTTTGGCACAGCTGGAGTGCCAAGGTTCGCCACCACTGGTATATAGGGAGCTACAGCTCGTGAAATACTGAGACGCCGCAGCTGAAGCGGATCCCGACATTACTGTCTGGATCCGCCCAGCTGCGTGAGTGACAGCTGGCTCTGCCTATCTAGGAGGCAGAGCCAGCTGTACCCGCCCCCTCCCCTGTCCGTTCCGCCAGTCAGCACTGGCGGATCGGAGCGGGGAGGGGGGAATCCAGCCCCTCCCCTGTCACGGCAGAGAGCCGTGACAGGATCGAGAGGTGAGCGAACGCCGGTATGTGTTTGCTCACCTCCCGATCTACTGAGCTAGACCTCACCTCATAGTTCTCCTTTAAGTGCTTCAAAATCCATCCCAGTCCCTGAACAACAATGTATCTTATTTGTGTATCACTCGGGTGTAGATCCTTCAATCATCTCTGACACTGTCCTTCCTTCTGGAGGGGGGCTACGTCTGTTCCCCATGGTCCCTGTGTGTGTTGTAAAGTAGTCACCGCTCCAATCTCACTCCCGGGATGGACTACAGTCTCATGTTTAGTTAACTCATTTGTATTGAGATTGTAGTCCATCCCGGGAGTGAGCTTGGAGGGGTAGCCACCCTCCAGAAGGAAGGACAGCCTCAGCACCAATTCAGAGATGATTT